AAGGAGTGTGACGCTCCAGTATCAAAAAGGATTCTAACGGGTCTATCGCACATAAGGAGTGTCCCTAAACATGAACAGGTGCAACATTCATTACAAAATATAATACTATTGATTGGTTCATTTCATTTTCATTTATTGTTCATTTTAATTTCAATTTCAATTTCATAAAAAAATTTTCATTGCAATTAATTAAACTACGCATCTGTAACCACATCAGGAGACCCCTTAGCTTCTTGCTGGGACAGTCCATAGACTCGTGGTTGAACATTCTGACGAGTCTGACCTTGAGAAGGAACAGAAGCAGTAGACTCTACAGCTCTTGGTCTACCAGCTGTCCTCTGAGTGTTGTTGCCTGACCTCACCTCTGAAGCAGATCTCTGTCCCAAAAGAGGACAGGACTTCGCCATGTGCCCAGGCTGATGGCACCAGTAACAAGTATTAGTGCCTGAGAGGCACTCTCCCTTATGCACTCGCCCACACTTGCTGCACAAAGAGGCAGTTGAAGCACTGCTGTCAGAATCACTGGATCTGGGCTTCTTCCAAGTAGAAGCTCCTGACTGAGAAGACTGAGTCATCTGGGAAGGCTTTGACCTGCCTTCCATCTTTCTCTTCTGAAAATCCATCCTCTTCTGAGTTGCCAGCATGTCCATCTCAATCCTTCTGGCTCTTTCCACTAAAGTAGGGTAATCCTCAATTCCAAAAGGCACAAGAGGCTGCCTTATCATGTCCTTCAACCCATTTAGAAAGCGGTTGCACTTCTCTTCAGCATTGGGTATCAGGTGAGGTGCATACCTGGATAACATCGTGAACTCTGCCTCATACTGAGAAACAGATCGATCTCCCTGAATCAATCTGTTGAACTTATCCTGCATCTGTCTCCTGGCGGTCGCAGGTACATACCAATCTCTGAATGCCTTTACAAACTCCTCCCAGGAAACTTGGCTGCTTGGTCTTCCTCCAAAGGTTTCTTCTAATTGACTCCTCCACCACCTCTCAGCCTCGCCATCAAAGGCATAAGCAGCCAATGTCACCCTCTTTTCCTCAGGGCAAAACATGCCCTCCAGGATCTTCTCAATCCGCATTAGCCAGTCTTCAGCTTCTATAGGTCC